TGGAGGATAAGGGTGGATTATGGTGGTATATGTTTGAGAATGTACCAGGCTTTACTCTTCTGCCTTACTCTTGTTTTGTATATTTAAAATTAAAAAAATTTCTGGTGCTGGGTACCAGTGGCTTACACCTATAATCGCTGCTTCTCAGGAAACTGAGATCTGAGGATTGTGGTTTGAAGCCAGCCTGAGCAGGAAAATCCATGAAACTTTTAACTCTAATTAACTACCAAAAGGCCAGAAGAATCTGTGGCCTCCACTTCATAAAGTGCTAGTCTGAGTGTAAAAGCTCAGAGACAGCACCCAGGCCCTGAGCTCAAGCCCTAGGATGGGTACACAAACACACACACACACACACACACACACACACACACACACACACATCTTTTCAAAAGATCATTTCCTAAAGGTATCAGTTCAGAAAGTTGTTCTTTCAGTAATTCTTGTGGGTTTAGCCCTTTGCAGATTGTAAACTGCACATTTGCAAGCTCTCTGAGCAGACAGAATTCCTGAACTGCAAAGCAGATAGCAATGTAGTGACAAGAGGCCCAATGTCTATGCAAGTTCTGTGCAGGGGTGTCCATATAAGAAGAGAAGGGGCTGCTATTTCCCCCATTGTTGACTGTCTGAGCTATGCATTGTGGTAGGGAACTGTTTTCTCTTTAAAGAGGGAATTTGTTGACTAGTAAAGAAGTACTGAAATACAAGGCTACATCTATAAAGGCTTGAACGTAGAGATTCATTGCCAAGTCCTTCTGTGTCCATTATTCAAAATGTGATATCAGGCAAATCACTTAACTCTGAGCCCTGTGCTTGCTCAGCCCTGTGTTGACATCATGCAGAGGTTCACCAGGAAAGACCCTACAATCCCAAATGGATAGCAGTTGTCTCTCGGGAGGAAAAAGATAACAATGTGGACGTCACTATTTGGAACTCATTGTCTGATGCAGAAGACAGGTGAACATACTGTGAATAAACCACAAAGCAGGGTGATGCATTCTGAATTTAAAAGGAGGGGTACAGAGTAGGAAAGACTTATCATCAGCTAGGAGGAATAATAATGTGAGAATCATTAACAATTGTCATTGTACTAGTGGTAATGTAATTAAAGCAGCTTATACTAATCAATGAGTGTCTTTTGGGTGGGAGCTATGATGTTAGCCCCAATATTTGCATTGCTTCTCATCTTGCCAGCACCTCTGAGAGGCTGATGGCCCATTGTACAGGAGAAGGTAGGTTGGAAGAGAATCATGGAGTGCATCACCTATGAGCTAGATTTGCCAGGAGAGAAAAAGAGAAGACAGGAGATTGTGACAGAGAAGAGAGGAACTAATGGAGATGCTTTAGTGGATTGGCATGATTGAGGACTATGCAGGGCTATCAGGAGAAAAGAACCATGAAATCCTGAGTGACTGAAGTAGCAGGAGGACGAAGAGACATTGAAAGCTAAGACTGGGAGAATCATGCTGAAGGTGCATCCCCATGAGCTTGTGTAGACTTGGGACTTAATGCCACTCTAAGTAACAATGATACTTAAATAGATAAATACGCAGTGTTTGGGATCTGGGTTGATTTTCTAGGGCGTAAGGAATAATTTTTAAAACTAAATTTGATCCATTTATAATCTTCTCATAGGGCTCGCCTTCCTACAGTTCCAAATCATTTGCCTGTTTGTATCGTCAATATTCCTGGGCTCTTATTTTCCTTAGAAATTGACCTCTTGTACTTTTTTCCACATATTTTGGGAAAGGAGAGGAAAATCATATTTTCCCCCCAGAGGATTGGATAGGAAGAGGAAAGTAAATACCTGCATAGACTCCCGCCCCATTCCGCTCCCCCCCCATTTTTAGGCACCTGTGGGGACATCTTGCTTTAGTAGAAGATCTGAGCTGGTGGAAGGAAATCTTTTAGACATACAGCCACTTTGGGTGGGTCCTCCCCAAGAGAGAGATGAGCAGGAGAGCAGCCAATGGAATCTATGGCTAGCTGCCATGGATTCTTACCCCTTTGGGAAATGGAGGCTTCCCAAAGTATGAGAAAAACCTCACATACAAGCCAGAGAGAGAGGCTCCAACATCCTACAGTTCTGCTTTGGGCTAGGATGAATGCCACCCCTTGAAAAGCTTGGCTCTGCAATTACCACTGAATAAACAGCCAATTAAAATATCTCCTCTTTTCCTACTCCACCCTCGGTCCTCCTCTCACAAAACTTTCTCATCCCAGAGCAAGGGGGCAGAGGTGGCTTTCTCTAATAACATTTATGTTCTCTGCCTGAGAACAGTTGATGGAAATGGACAGATGAAATAGGAAAAAAACAATTGGAAAGGGCTGTTCCAAGCAAATCTCAGCTCCTCTGTGTTTTCCTTCTCCTCCCATGCATTGTTTCTCTCTTCAGCCTATGACTGGGTGAGCTTGTGAGTGCGGGTGAGGTGGTGGGAAGACTCGGATATGTCTACAGTTGTACTTGCTCTTGCCATTTGTTCTGTGAACTCTCAACCCTTGTTCCGTCATCTCTAAGAAAGAGAATAAGTGATGAGAGCTGCCAACCTGTATAAAGGGATTTCTACCTTCCAGCCATCACTTATGCTCTTGATTCTTTTCTTATTAATGTCCTTAATCCTCAGAATGACTGGATGGGTGGTACCCAGTTACCACCCTTGTTCCATATATGGAAAAGATAGGGTACAGGAAGTCAAGTAAATTCCCCAGATGGCCTAAACATCAAGTGGGAGAACTAGGTTCAAATACAGGGTACTATAGTTTGAAAGCCATGTTACCAATTCTGCACCAAGTAGTAAGACAACACCTGTACACAGCACACTGTAGGTGGCACACAGCCAGTGTTTAATAAACATTGGCCTTCTCCATTCTTTTTCCTCTCGCTGATGACTGATGATAGCTCCTCATGAGACCGTCCTTCTAAGAAGTTGAATGTGAACTCTTGAAGCAGAGAACTCAGTGGGAAGATTTTGGCTCCCTATCTGAGCCCAGGGTGGCTGTTCTTGGGATTAGCCATTTCAAATCCTGTCTGTATTTTTCCTGAGCTTGGGGCTCTAGACCAGGTGGGTGGCCAGAAGAACACTGGGAAATGTCAGCCCTAAACTGTTTACATTGGGGTAGATGTAGTACTTCTAGGCAGCTGCCTCTAGTTCCAATGGACTACTAAGGAAACTGAGGATCATGGTCAGCAATTGCTGAATTGAAGACTGGAACTAAAATATTTAGACTTCTAATTTTTTCCTGATTGTTTAGCTCCATCCACTGAATGCTTACCAGATATTGTCTCTAAAGTTAAAATAGGGTTGATGGAGATGAATATGGCAACCTCCCCAGTCCTGGTGGCCACAGAAAGACTGATACCTACAAATGCACATGCACATGCATGCACATGCTCATACATACACACACACACACACACACACACACACACACACACACACATACACACACAGGTGAAGGCATGAATTCATTTCCAAGCCCACTCAACAATGACTCAACTACTCACAGGGACCTCTATGATACAGGATGACAGATAATATGGGTACAGGAAGAAACCTGAAAGGTAAGTAACACCACACATTGCTTTGTTTAAAACATGAGCCAATAGCTCACACTTCTAATCCTAACTGCTCAGGGACCTGGAGAATCACCGTTCAAAAGAAGCATGGACAGACAAATCCACAAGAGTCCTTCTCCAATTAAGCAGCGAAATACTAGACTCAAACATGTATGGCTCAAGGGGTAGCATGCCAGCCACTAGCAAAAAGCTGAGTGCGTGCATGGCTCTGAGTTCAAGCCTTAGAACGAACACACACACACACACACACACACACACACACACACACACACGAGCCACAGAATAATACATCCTTGATTTCTCTTTCCCTCCATTCTCTTTCTCTTTCCTTCACTCTCTTGTATGCCTATTTTTCTTCCCTCTCTCTTTTTTCTCTCTTCTTTTTTTATTTTTATTTTTTGTTGGTCATGGAGCCTGAACTCTGGGCCTGTGTGCTGTCCCTCAGCTCTTTAGTTCAAGGCTAGCGCTCGACCACTTGAGTCACAGCACCACTTCCAGCTTTTTTCTACTTACATGGTCCTGAGGAATCGAACCCAGGGCCTCATGAATGCAAGGAAGTCACTCTATCATTGAGCCACTTTCTCAGCTCCCCACTCTTCTTTCTCTTCTCTGTCTGTGTGTATGCGTGTTTCTGTCTCTCCCCATATACCCCTTCTTTCTTGCTCTCCCACACATGTATTCTACATATTAAAGAGTTGATAAGGTAACATAAAGAGCATTACCTTAAAACTTTCAAGATAGAGGAGTCTGCAATGACAGTAACCCCTCTCAACAATAGCTCTCTCAAGTCTATTTTATAGGTAAGGAAATAAACTTTTATAGAATGCAGAAACATCTATGGGTGGCAGCCTGTTGCCTTAATAAGAAGAGAAGACAATTGTAAGCTAGCCACTGTTAGCCTTGATACTCAGTTCTGCGACCTATTTTCAACCTATTCAAAAGTGTTGGGCTACCACCTTAAAAATAAAGTAATAATATCCTCTTAGAAGATTAACGTAGAGATGCAAAGCATACCTATTTTCCAAAGAAGAAGTCCAAGGTTTATAGCAAATGGGTGACAAAGAAGAAACCAAGACTAGACTACATGTTACATTATCTATGGTCTGTCTTCTTGATCTATACTATTAAGTGGCCTTAAGTCAAAACAGAATAATTTTAGAGTTCAAAACTGAAGGCTGCTGTTTATAACCTAAATGATATTTGCAAGTCTCTTAAATTCACTACCACATAGTTATTTTCTTAACTGTAAAATGGGGTCGACTTTATCCTCTAACATTTTCAGGGAGGGTCAATGAAGGGATGTTTATGAAGAATTTAGCAAAGCATCTGGCACATAATAGCTCTTAATTGTTGGAGGAGTACCTGTTATTGGAATGGTATCTATTTTGGGATGGTGATAACAGCCAAGGTTCCTTTTCTGTTTCAGAGCCTACTTGGATGTTAATGAACTGAAGAACATTCTTCGACTGGATGGATCAACACACCTCAATATTTTCTTTGCAAAGTCCTCAGAGGAGGAGTTGGCTGGAGTAGCCACTTGGCCGTGGGACAAGGAGGCTCTGATGCACTTAGGTGAGTCTCAGAAACTCCTGCAGTATCAACTTGGAGTAAGAGAAGACCGAATTGGATCGTAGTGGTGCAGATGGTGACTGTGAACCATCCATTTATTTATCTAAATTCCATGTATTACTTGATCTTATTTTGACCACTTAGCAATGCTCTGAAGGAAGCAGTACAATGCTATTGGCCATGTTTTACAAATGGGTAAGCCCATAATATCTCTTGAATGGGGCCTGTCCAAGGTCACAACACAACTCAGTGCCAGAGCCAGATTAGAATTCAAGTCCCTAAATCTGTCTGTTGATTGCATTCTCTTGATATCTCCTTTTACCTAGTTATGTATATATTCCTGCCTGGTAATTCCATTGTATTGATGTAACCAGTCATCAGCTGACCCAAAAGACACTAAAGAAATGGAATGTGTTAGGATTCCTGTTTCTTCATGATCTGACAATACTAGAAACGCTTCTTACATTGAAGTTATGCATATCCGTAAATAAGGCATAATTTTATTAAAACAGAAAGTCAAACTGTAATAGTCTCTGAACCAAGGCCTATAAGCAAACATTATGATTTTTTAATTTTGGGTTTTTCCATATGCTTAGCCAGTACACATGCATATGTAGACATGTGTTTTATTTAACTTGGACATATTTGAAATAATGAAATCAATACAATTTTGTGTTCTTTTTTCCCCCACCTAGAATTGTGCTATCTATAGTATACTATAAGGAAGTCTTATAATTTCTTTGCACACAACTCTTTCACTTAAAATCACAAGCATACCTCTAGGTTCTTTATACTTTCTCTAAAATGGGAGCTTTTAATAATCACATAGTATTCCTTTGAGCTAGGATGCTACAATGATTTATCTATCTTTCCCCTGGTAGAAAGTTTCCATTATTTGCAACAATGACTTGTGATGACTCAATGCTCATTCTTACTGTGAATGTCTGGGCTCAGCAGAGTAGCAGCACTGAGCATGTATCCTCATAGCCTGCTTTGGCTCCCTGAGACACATTCAGGATAGCTCTCAAAATCTATGATGTCTTGTAGAGTAGAGATTCTTTTTTTTCTAATCTACTTTATTGTTATTATAGAGGTGATATACAGAGGGGCTACATTTACATGCCTCAGGTAATAAATACATTTCATTTCATACAGTGTCATCCATTCCTTCACTCTCTCCTAGCCCCTCCCTCCCAACTCCACCCACCAGTTCAGACAGCCCACTTTCATCAATGTCCAATACGCTCCACTACTGTTTTCACCCTTTTAAACCAATGTGTGCGCGTGTATGTGTGTGTGTGTGTAACCACACACACAAATGAAGATAAGTCTGCAATTCTCAACTGAGGGACAGCGACATGCATTGGGGCATGGTACTGGCATCTAGTGTGTAGAGGGTATCAGTGTTGCTAGATATCTGACAGTATCCACAGCAAGGAATTATGTGCTCCAATGTATTGATAGTGCTGAGACTGGGGAACTCTGAAATAGATGATGGGTAGACAGACAGACACAGGCAGATAGTTGTTGAGCAAAGCAGAGTTTGCAACTTAGGTAAACTTGAAGATCATCTCATGTCACATATCACTGCCTGGTTTGATCTGGGGAGATCACACTAGACCAGATCTACAATCCATAGTTGTTTTCACCTGTAGTTTTACTTAGCAGTATGCCCTTAAGCAAGTATCTTTCTTCCACAGATCTCAGTTTCTTAAGGTTTTAAGTGGTAGATTAGATTGGAAGGGCTCTACAGATCCTTCTCAGTTCTGAAAGTCTATCCTATTGGTAAAGTAGCCAAAAGGTACTGATCAAAGTTTGAGAAGGGGAAGTGGCACTGTGGCTCAAGCGATAGAGCACTCGCCTTGAGCTGAAGAGCACAAGGATAGCGCCCAGGTCCAGAGTTCAAGCCCCACAACCGATAGTTTGAGCAGGGTTGAACACAGGCTTCTAAACCTAGAGAAAAATACTCCTGATAATTCCATGGATATCAGAGATTGGCTCAGGGCCAGGCCTACAAAAGGCTATAAATCTATAGCATGTTATAGTATTTCAGGATGATGTCAGGCTTGAGCTATTTCACCTTTTAAGAGTGAAATAAGACTCAGGCCCAGAGATGTCACTCTGTGGAATGGGGTGAATTGAAGTGGAATAAACAGAGCTAGAAGTTTGCCGTGCAATCACCATCCCTTAATCTGCCTGCTCTTTCTGTTACCTTACCACACAAGCTTCACAGACAGATAGAGAATCCTTAGCACAGTGTAACTGCTTAGTTTAGCACATTGTAGCTGTTCAGTTTAACATAATAAGGATGGTAACCCATGTCAGGCTAGCTCTGGCCATCCTGTGAGCCACATCCTCCTCCCCCTCCCATCCTAAGAGAAGAAGATCATGAGCAATTCCTGTGCGCTAGCCCCCAATGAAACTCAATTTATTAGAACCATCTCTCTCTCTCTCTCTCTCTCTCTCTCATCTCTCTCTCGGGCTCTCTCATTTTTAGCCTCTGTTGTTGCTGTGATGCCATGATCCCTGGAAAAGCTTTGTGTGGGAAGAGGATTATGTTTCATATTATGATTGACAGAAAAGAATTGAGAAAGATTTCCTGTCTCCATTTCTCTTCTTCCTTGCCTCTGCCTGCCCCTTCTCACACCCCCACAAGCACGCACACCCACACCCACAACCCTACTCATCCATCTTTATCTTTCTGTTAGAAATCTCTTAATAGATTCTGTGAGCCCCAAGACTGAGCAAACTTACCAATCCAACAGTTCAATCTTATCCAAGATAAAACTTGCCTCATGCCTGTTCTGGGCTTGCCAGCAAAGCCCTGTCTTTCCCTCCATGCTGTTCTTCACTTAAATCCTCTACTTACTAGGTTCTCAGAATTGAATTCTAGTGTTGTCTTAAACATGTTGGAAGTTGAACTCTGTTTCTGTCAGCCCACAGGCATCTTTGCAATCCCTAAAATTAGTGCTACCATTCTTTGTTTCTGTTGAGGTCTATTTTATCTATCTTCTCAAGCTAAGGGATGTTCTGACTTCTAGAACATGTGGTAAAGGCCACTACTTGTCCCCCTAGAGTATCCAAAGAGGACATCTGGGTATAGAATGTGATGCTGCCAGCTCTAAGTAAGGGCCTCAATTTCTGTGTTTCTGATACATTCCTGGATGGGGTTTATATTGGTTCTTCTCTTGTGGATAGATAATTGGCATACTTGTTCTATGTCAGGGGTTATTTGTACCTGCTTATAAGTAATTAGTTATACTTCACAACCATCTTCAGACCACTATATTTTCATAAAATATTCAGCACACATTTAATGAGATGTTACATTCTAATAGATCCTATAGCAAGGGTTTCAAGTTCCAATTTCAGCTCCGCATTTACTTTGGATCGTGGGTCAGTGAGTTGCTTCCACTGTTGAGACCTAAAGAAGTATGATTATGTGAATGGAATACTCAACTTGACACCCAAGGATGCTTAATAAATGCTCAAGAAACAGCCACTGGCATGAGCACTCTTGTCACAGAGCACAACCTAGCGGTGGCTTTCATGAGTGTTCATACTTTATAGGGCATCAGATATGGAGAAAAGGTAATGAACTTGGGCCATTCACAGTTAGTGAAAGTGGAAATGTGAACTGGAGAAAGGCGTCTGAGCCTGTATGAGGGTTTCATTGAGGTGAGAGCTTGTCGAGGATGTGTAAACCAGGTCTTTCTTACTGTCTGCGGAATAGACACCAGCAGAAAGTCTTCAGAGCCCAGAAACCATAACTTCTACCTGTTCCTTTCTATCTACATTGTTTGAAGCCTGAAGAGTGCTTCACCTCCTCAGGCACAGGTGTCTGCATTCCTAAGGATGGTACACAAAATGCCTGTTGAGAGAGTCCTATCTGCTCAGGTGCAGCGTGATTCATGTCACAGGTTGTAACAGAGCTCAGGATAATGAAGTCATTGGGTGGAGAGGCCTGTTGTTATATGGAGCAGCACCCCTTTGCCCTTCCGTGACTCGGGCAATCTTGCATCAAGAAGCATACACTTGCCTAATACTTTGGTTTCCCCACTGCAGGTGGCATTGTCTTGAACCCATCTTTCTATGGCACTCCCGGGCACACCCATACCATGATCCACGAGATTGGGCACAGCCTGGGCCTCTATCACATCTTCCGTGGCATCTCAGAAATCCAGTCCTGCAGTGACCCCTGCATGGAAACGGAGCCCTCTTTCGAGACGGGAGACCTCTGCAATGACACCAACCCAGCCCCGAAACACAAGTTGTGTGGTGACCCAGGACCAGAGAATGACACGTGTGGTTTTCATAGCTTCGTGAACACTCCTTACAACAACTTCATGAGCTATGCAGGTAGGCCTCTACCTTCTACTGTGTGTTGACAGTCGAGGCCTGGGGTCTAGTTCTCTCTCAGGTTAATCTTCAATGAGATGCTTGTTTTTTTTCTAAAAAGACCAGAAAATTTTCATCTCAACCAATCAGTATAACATGCCTTCCATTAGCATCTCAGGGACCCGAGGAAGATGATGCATGTCACAGTTTCTCAAAGACAATGTCGGGGGTTGACTCCACTAAAAGCCAGGGAAGCCATGTGCAAGGCCTAGCAAGTTTAGATCATCCACCCTCCAGGCCTCACTTCTCTCAAGCAAGTGAAATTCGTGAGCCAGATCTTATAGTTTTGCAGTTGCATTTTTTTTCTAAGCTGGGTGGTAGTTGAACCTTGTTTTTCCTTATTCCAGGTTTCCCTTAGATCAGTGTAACTTTCATATTTCCTTTAATGTTCCTAGCACAAACTTTTTTTTTGTTCACAAACTTTACATGAGATTGGGTATGACTTTTTCCTTAACTACTTGTACTGTATTATAACCCTTTATAAATCCTCAATGACTGCATTAATGACTCATGCTGTTGGTTCTAGGATGTCCTATGCTTGCCCTTAGCAAGTGATACATCAAGATAATCTTGAGCTCCTTGAGCATGGTAAATTAGAACAAGGTACCTCCTTCTCTAGGCAGCCATAGCCCTTACCTTTCAATCAAAATTCAACTTGTGCACACACTTGTATCACCTCTGATTCTAATGGTAATAGTTAATTTTGGTATTTTATTCTTTATAAGAACAAGAAAATTCTATGAAAGGAAAGGTTATCCTTAGTATATCAGTATATTCCTGGGTCTAGGAACAGAACCTGGTCCTTATTAAATGTTAAAAATTGAAGAATGGAGAGGAAGGGAAGAGAAAGACTCCAAAGGAGGGAGGAAAACAATGAAATTCTCATATCAGGCATACAACCTTATATCAGGTATGTAAGCTTGAACTTGGGGCCTGCACATTGTCTCTGAGCCATTTATGTTCAAGGCTAGCTACCACCTGAGCCACAGTGCCACATCCAGTGTTTTCTGAGTAATTTATTGGAAGTAAGAGTTTCACAAACTTTCTTGCCCAGGCAGCTACACACCACTATCCTCAGATCTCAGCCTCCTGGGTACCTAGGATTACAGGCATGAGCCATGGCACCTGGAATCAAATTGATGCTTATTACTAACAATATATCTACCTATCATACCCATTTATTAACTGTAAAGGATTTAGTTTTTCTACTAAGTAGTGGGACTTGGCCTCAAGGTCAGAGACCTGTCTCTTAGCTTTGTTTCTAAAGACTGGAACTCTACCACTCGAGCCACAGTTCAACTTCTGGCTTTTTTGCTAGTTAGTTGGAGATAAGAATTGCAAGCACTTTTCTACTTGAGCTGGCTTTGAGCCACGATTCTCAGATATCAGTCTCCTGAGTAGTTGGGATTACATATGTTCCATCTCATTTAATTCTCCCAACAAAACTGTTGGAGTAGGAGCTGCCTCTGTTTTACGTATGACAATAGAAAAGCTTATTGCAGTCATTTACCCTCGGTCACATGTCTGGCATCAAGTACCTTTTCTCTTCTACTTTCATGCTACTCTCCCAGAATGACCGAACTGATAGTTGGATGGAGAACTTTCCCTCTATTCCCCAGAGAAACTTGAGGGGGGCAGGGGGAAGGGATGCTCTGGGAGCATTTCCAATATAAGATTTCCTATAGCTGATTGCTGACATCTCTTGAAAAATCTGGTGTTGTAAAGTGTTCTTAGTTTTTGAGTCTAAATTTTTGTTTTACAAAGCATAAGACCAGACCAGGATGCTGGGTATTTCCTCAAAAGCAGATTCCCACTGAGCTCCCATTCCCGTCCTCGCTGACCCTCCACATCTGGTGCCCCATCCTCTCATACAACCCTGCTTACGTTCCATTTCTGTAGCACCATTCCTTGATGCACTCACCACACATGCAAATAAACTAACATGCATTTGGAAGTGTGCCTAGCTCTTAGGGGCTAAGAATTGCCACCAGTCAGTAGCCACCAACTATCAAGCCTCTGTAAACTAAATCCTCTCATCCTTTCCCCTCTCTTCCCATCCTCTCCTCTCTCTTCTCCTCTCCCCCATTTCCCTCATTTTCCTTTGTTTAAATCTAAAGGGTGATTGATTTACTGTTGGTTTTTTTTAAGGAACCCCTCAGTTCAGTGACCCATTAATAGCAGAACTAATTCACTAAGCTACGCCAACAAACTGACACCCATAAAAGCATATTCAAGGCAACCACGAGCTTTGAAATGTTTGTTTTCATTAGGCTCTCTGATAGATGAGGTGACAACAGCAGCTGGACAAAATTCAAAATGCAGGAAATGATTGGGTTCTCAGGACTGGAGAAAGGGATGCAGAAGATCCCTTCTTCCGTAAGACAGGATAGAATCATTGCTGAGTCAGCTTCTTCTTTGCTTTTTCTTTCTGGGGGCTTCATCTTTGAGCCCAGACACAGAGCATTCTGCAAAGACAATCACAGTTTGGGTTTGTGCTTTACAAAATGGTATCCATTAGCCATTTATGGCTACTGAGCACTTGGAATAACAGCCAGGGAAACCAAGGACCTAAATTATTGTGAGTCTTAAGTCATTTTAACTCCTTTAAATTAGAAAAGCCACGTGTGTTGGTGGCTATCATTTTGGCATTCACAGGCCAATGATCACATAGTGGTTCCCTATAACATAGTGGTCCAGGGCATAAAGTCAAAGTGAAGAGACTGAACTTGGATTTTCTGTGTCTGAGACTTTGGTCCTAGGCAAGTTACTTATTTAAAAAAATTATTTTGCTGACCCTCAGTGACATCATCAGCATCATGGAGAATAATCACACTTACCTTGAATAAGTGCATGGGCGTAATTGTACAAATAAGGAACTTAGAATTGTCCTTGGCATTCTAACTAGTGTTTAATAAATGACTATTTGTATGATTATTTGTTAACTATTTGATGCGAGAAATTTCAGTCTGTATGACATATATATGGGAGTATGTATATCTTTATACATATGATGAGAACTGTAGAAAATCACTGTACATAGCTGTACATATACATATATTGCTCTATTAGACATAAGTTGTATCATTTTTCAGGGCCTAAAGTAATGGTTTATATTTGTATATTCAGATGTAATATAACGAATATCTATACATTTCATAATCATTACCATGATTAAAGGATTAAAAAAAACAAAAGAAATAGGCTTTCACACAAAGTGACCCTGATTTCCATGCACTAGATATGGCTGAGCATGTCCAATAATTCATATTAGCTTTATGAGATAGTGTTGCCATTATTCCTCATTTTATAGTTGGTAGAAATGAGATTGTCAAGGTCAACATTTTTTTCCCAGGATCCTATGGAGGTGGAGGCAACAAGTCCCTGTCCTGAACATCTGTGCATTAGCCTTCTAGCTGCAGATAGAAATTTGGTCTTGAGGGCTAGGCTCTGTGGGCAAACCTAGAGTACAGTTCCAAGAGCATAGGGCACTGGGCAGCCACGCCTCCCTGCCTCCCCTACACTCTTAGAAGATGAAATCCCAGAGTCCTTTTGCTTATGAGCAAGAAACTGGGATAGAGGAACAAGATGAGTTAGCTGATCCTGGAGGCAGAGATGAAGTGACCACTGATAGGGGGAGGAGAGGACTGGAGGGCAGGAAGCCAAGTGGAGCTGGCTGTAGATATTAGCTAATTGAGGCACAGCGTTTGTGATAGATAAATGGAAACCTTTTGGGACCTCACCCAAGATTCTGATATCAGCTAAGTCTCCAGGAGATGTGGCCTGAGGCAGACAGTTTGTAACTTCAGCTTCCTCTGCTGTTTTCTCATCTACCCATTTCAACCACCCCTCTCCTTTTTTTTAAATGGCAGACGTGGAAATGGTTAATTTTTAAGTTGTATAAGATTCTTTGTGGGCAGAAGTATTAGTATAGTGAGGCTTAAACTCAAGGCCTGGACACTGTCCCTTAGCTTTTACTCTCAAAGCTGGTACTCTACCACTTAAACCACAGCTCCACTTATGGCTTTTGCCTTGTTAATTGATGATGAGTCCCACAGACTTTCCTTCCCTGGTTGGTTTCAAATGGGATCCTCAGATCTCAGCCTCCTGAGTTGCTAAGATTATAGGCCTGAGCTACTGGCACTTGGCTGAAAAAGATATTTATTTCGGGGGGGGCGGGATGGGAGAATCGAATAAATCACAAGTTTATAGAAGAAAGAAATATTTCTGTTGTTTATCTTTATTCATTCTTATACAAGTTTGATTTTCATTTTCTAGGTTAGTCTTGACTTAAATGTCCCCAGTGTCAGTAAGAAGGAAGTGGGTCTTAAAGTAACTTCATTTCTTGGTAGTGCCTGGTTAGTATTTTATTTTATACTTCACTTTATAGAACATAACCAGTCCTCCTATTAACGGGCATCTTTATTAGTTTATTTTGCTGTTCTAAGAAATGCTTCCTACCTCTGTATTTCCCCCATATTTGTTTGTGACTATCTAGCTATTGAATCCATTATGCAGTATTACCACATCAGAAAAAAAAAGAATGTATGTTGTGTCTTTTATTAATTTATTCCTTGTTAGCACGTACTGGCTTGCCAAAGGGGTATTCATTGTGATATTTTCACCCATGCATATACTATCCTCTGATCATACTTACTCCTTCCATCACTCTCCCTCCCTCTCCCCCTCCCCTTCCTTTCTCCCTTCTTAAAACAATTTCAACAGGTCCATTGTTCCATTTTCATGCAAGAATGCATGATTTACATTCTGGATGGTTGGGCTTTTTTTCTGCTTCTAGTGTTTTCTAGCGCGTGCGCGCGCGCGCGCGAACACACACACACACACACACACACACACACACACACGAGCATCTGTATACACACACATACACAGAATTCCCAAATGTGAGGCAGTGAGCATTTACTGAGCATGTGTCATGGAGCAGACATTGTTCTTGTGCTCCACCCTCCTTCTCCTCTACTGATCCCAACACCATCTCCATTTCATGGGCGGGTAAACTGAGGGACCTCAGTCATAAAATCCCTTGCTCATTTGGCTCCAAATCTCATGCAGGAATCTGACATTATTGGTTTTTTTTTCTTCTCCATAATCACCATGCCTTGCTCCTGGATCTCACCTATCGGTAGCTTTTCCATTATGAAATTTTAGGATGGTGTGCAGGGTTCATAGCAATTAAGAAAAACTTTCCCATGGTACAGTCATCCTCTCAGATTGAGGGGTTTGAACTCCGGCAATGGGAGTCATAGAATGCCTGGCATTTAAAGAGTTACATGATGAATCTGGGCTGGAGATAATTTACTCAGTCACTCTTAGACTCTTAAAGCCTTCCCCATGGTCCTCGAAAGTAGACTATCAAAAATCACTAAGGAAATCTGAGACAGCTTCTGTATATAAACTTTCTAACACCCCTGTCCCTTCCTTCAAGTGAGGGACTTCAAGGTCACGTCCAACTGCCCAGCACCTGCCCAAACTTATTTTCTGTTTGTTTGATAGGGAGAAGTGAGTTTATGCTTCAGGATTCTCAGTAGCGGGTTTATTTTAAGATCTGGCAAACTCTTTGTTCCTCCGTCTGGGGCCCAGCTGTGGAAACCCTGACCAAGCAGATACCTCTGAGAAGTGGTACTTGGGGAAACCAAGCCAAAGCAGTGCCTTTCTCTTATTCCATTGAATAAAACTTGGAGAGAGAAAAGAGAAGTGAGTATCTTCCCTGGGGGATAGGTTTTGGATCACCCTCTTCAGTCTACATTGGGAAGAGAAAGTAGGGCAGAAGGCTGTTGGGTTTAAAGTCACCTGACAGATTGCATTCTAATCCCCCTTCAGCTCAGACTTGGGTTCGACTTTGATTCCTTAGCCACCTGCAGAAGACTTTATCTGTGCAAGGTCTCATTTACATTCAGACAGAGTAGTTTTGCTCTTGATGAAAAGCACAGCCTTGTGCTTTTCTACTTTTCTACTTGGGTTCAAGTCCCAGGTCTGTGCTGAGCTTTGTGATCTTGAAAAGGCTACTTTCCTCTTTCTCATCCTCAGTTTCCAACTCTGCGCAATAGAGGGAATAACAGTACACACTCCAACAATAGTTTCTGTTGGGAGAGAGAGGGAGGGGATTAAATGTGTTCAAAGCCATGCCTAGTTCACACTTAACACATACTAAGTACACTACTACAGTGACACTACTGTGAGGGAAAAGAAATTGCTCATTTCTCACCCAACACACCAAGCCTGGGTTGTTTCTGGACTGCTGATCTTCAGCTATCCTGTGCTCTTGCATGGACAACATGGCTGTAATTACATGCTTCCTCTCCTTGAGCTAGTACCTTCCATTCCCAATTTCAGCCACATCATCAGATTGATCTCTTTCTTCAGGGTCTGTCTGATTCACTCTCTCCTTCATAGACTGTCTCCCTCTGTTCAATGGCAGTTGACACCACAAAATTCTTCACACAGCTTTAGAACAACCTTGACTTACAACGAAGAGTTTTGATGTCATATGTAGACCAGTAGTTTCTTCAAGGGTAAAATCTCTGCAGATAGCAGAGAAGAATGTATTGGACGCTCCATAGATTTGTTGAATGACATTGCATCATTGCATCAGTGAAAAGTAGAATGAGTTAATGTGTAGATGAATAAATGTGAAAGAGTAAGTCGGGGAATGAGTGAACCCATACTTGAGTAGATGAATGAATGACTGCATCAGGAGGGAGGGGATGATTGGATTTAGAGACAGTGGGTTTAGAGTCCCTAGCAAGCAATTTGCCTTGCCTTTCTCCTTAGCCATGACTTCGTGGCTGCTCTCTCCCATCTCAGGCTTACTTTTCCAGTTCCACCCCACCCTCCCCTTCCTCCAGTTTCCTCTCACCTGTCTCCAGGAGTGATGACTGTACTAATTTGTTCACAGACCATTAACTCCTGAGCACTGGAAGAGGCCACCCTGAGTTGGCAAGAAAGACTGGGGTGCTGACTCTGGCTGCTGGGAGACGTCATTCCTCTCGTGCATGCCTGCCCATGCTGCTTGGTGCTTATCTCTCTCCCTTCTGCCTGCTTGCAGATGACGACTGTACAGACTCCTTCACGCCCAATCAAGTCGCCAGAATGCACTGTTACCTAGATCTGGTGTACCAGGGTTGGCAGCCCTCCAGGAAGCCGGCGCCTGTTGCTCTCGCCCCCCAGGTTGTGGGCCACACTGCAGACTCGGTGATGCTGGAGTGGTTCCCACCCATCGACGGCCACTTTTTTCAAAGGTGAGTGTGCCCTGTGAAGTGTTGATCCCTCTCTCCCTTTCCTGCCAAGAAGAGGGAGACTTGGAAGGGAAGTGGCCTTAGAGAGGGATTTGCTGTGTTTCTTATTCTTGTTTAATGGGTATTCACCACTTAACACAGTGACTTGCATTGTAGGCCTGTTGTAAACTCTGGAATTAAGGAATAAAGAAGGATTACTAATAGAAACGAATAGGTAGGGATATATATTAGCTGAATGGATGTTAATATTTAATTTGTTATTAGAAACATGGAACTGTCTATTGCTAAATATTCTTTGGAGATGAAATCATGTCAACTAGATCAGGAATCTAAATTGCCTCAAGTTAATGAGCAAAACTTTCACATTGTCATATGTGTGTGTTCATATATAGTGTATACATATATATAGTATGTGTATATATGTATCAGCATTCACATATATGAACATATATGTACGTATAAGGATAATATGTAATATGCCAGGTGCCGGTGGCTGACCCCTGTAATCCTAGCTACTCAGGAGCCTGAGATCTGAGGATTATAGTTCAAAGCCAGCCCAGGCTAGAAAAATCTGTGAGACACTTATCTCCAAATAGTTACCAAAAAAAAGCTGAAAGTGGAGCTGTGACTCAAGTATACTCAAGGATACTAGCCTTGAGCAAAAAAGTTCAGGGACAATGCTCAGGCCCTGAGTTCAAGGAATATATACCTATATGGGCATATATACCTATATATGGATATATATAGATATATGTATATCTATATCTAGATATAAATATAGATAAAAAGTATGTATATCTACATACTTTTGTTGAACTGAGGGTAGAATTTGGGGACCAGAAAGAAACGAGATAGGAAAGAAACTTCAAATATAAAACAATTCAATTCTGTTTCTTTGCTACTAATTTAGCTACATGGCTTGGGACATGGTATTTTTTTTTCTATGAAGTTTACTCACCTCCCTTGGAAAATGGTCTGGTAGCTCCAGTGAAGACAGAAAGGTGGAGAAATGAAATTTCCTCCTGTAGTTCCTTTCACCACAGAGACTCTTGAAATACTCAAGTGTTGAGGGAGCCAGATTTTACAGATTCATGGGCTGGGCTGTAGCTAAGTAGTAGAGCGTTTGTCTGAACTGAACATGGTCCTAGGTTCTACTCCCAGCAATGCAAAACCATCAACATTTTTAAAAATAAAATAAAATGTTGATGAAAACAGGACCACGATTTTTACATTACTTGTGAAACTTCTTTGCCATTGTGTAACCCCTCAGCTCTTAAAAGGCTACTTCCCCTGCCGGTTATGTATTCTTGGGCCATTTCACCTGGCACCCATAGATCTTGTTAGTTTGTTTTTGTTTTGTCAGTCATAGGATGAAGTCAGGGCCAAGGAGCCATCCCTGAGCTTTTTCACTCAAGGCTAGCATTCCATCACTTTGAGTCACAGCACCACTTCCAAGTTTTTGGTGGTTAACTGGAGATAAGAGTCTCATGGACTTTTCTACCTGGGCTGTCATCAAACCTCTGTCTTCACGTCTCAGCCTACTGAGTAGCTATAATTACAGGTGTGAGTCACCAGTGCCTATTTTTGATGGTGGTGAAAATAAAAACCACACCAATACTTAGCATTTCTCTATTGAGATTGCTGTTGTTTATCAAGTGCTAATTATGAGAACTATTCTCTATTGAATGCTTAACACACAGAGTTTCACTGAATACTTCCAGTAGCCCAGTGAAAGATGGATCTTTTCCTCATGTACCAGAATAGGGGAGAACTAGAGCTGAAAGAAGCTCAGCGATTTGATCTAGAGCCCATAGAAAATGAGGGCTGTGTTTCAACTCATATTTTGCAATGTCTTGTCTAGGGCTCCCATGACATTTCATTACATTGTTCCAAAAGTAGAGTTATGGAAATGTTATACTTCTTCCCAAAAGACCACAAAAATAAAGTGGCAGAAAGCCCTTATTTACATGTGTGTGTGTGTGTGTGTGTGTGTGTGTGTGTGTGTGTGTATTTATGTGAGTGTCCTAAGCAAGGGATCTCAGTAGACATTTCTCAAAAGAAGACCTACAAGTCTCCATCAGACATATTTTGAAATGCTCAACATCACAAATTATTGGGAAAGTGCAAATTAAAACTACAATGGGATATCATCTCCTTCTGGTAGGATGGCAAAGATCTATAAGAAAAAGATTAGTGTAGGTGAGTAGATAGGAACAAAGGGAAACTTATACAACATTGGTGAGAATATAGAAAACAATACAGCCATTGTAAAAAATAGTATTGAGGTTCCTCAAAAAAAATAGAACTGTTGTATGATCCAACAATCCCATTACTGATACATATCCGAAGTAATTGAAATTAGTTTGTAGAAAACCTACCATGTGCTCCATCTCCATGGTAGCATTACTTGCAATAGTTAATTTATAGAAACAATCTAAATGTCTTCCTCAGATGAATGGATTAAAAATGTGTTTTATATACATATGTGTGTGTGTGTGTGTGTGTGTGTGTGTGTATGTGTGTGAGAGATAATAGATTATTCAGCCTTTATAAAGTAGGCAATTCTGTCATGTATAACAGTATGGATAAATCTAGAAGACTCTAAACTAATTGAAAAGGTTTATGCCTAGCTAGGCATAGAAAAGACACATACTATCTGGTCTTACATATAGAATTAGAAGAAGTTGAAATCTTAGACTTAGAAGAGGTGTAGAATGATAGATAGTAGAAGCCAAGGGAGGAGAATGGATAAGCTGAGGCCGAAAAGGGAAGATGCTAATTGAAAGATACAAAGTCTCACTTGTGTGAAATAAGCTGTATTGATCTGTTGCTCAGAAATGGTAACTACAATAAATAATAATCTAGTGCGTATTTCAAAATTTGCCAAAATACAGATTGTGCCACAAGAAATGTAAGCATGGGAGATGATGGATTTGTTAACCATTCCACGTTGTAAACATAAATCAAAACAGTATGTTGTACCTCATAAATATATATAATTATTGTCAGTTTAAAGCACTGTTTTAATTAAAATCTATTAAATCACAATACCATATAACGTTTGGACTGTAATATTATAGATCACTAACAATCCCTGAGGCTAGAACCTTCCTTTGGCAGCTGGGCAAGTAGGACCAATGTAGAAGGAAATGTCCTCATCCCCCTCCTTCTGCCAGGCTTTCTGTGGACACTCCCAGTGTCCTGGCCAGATGCCTTCCCTAGGAGATCGGAGCTGGGTTTGCGAAACCTTTACAGGCTTTCCAGCAGCTTGTAGATTTATTTTTTCTGTGGTGATGAGAAATATCAAACTTTTTGGTCAAGCTTTGGCCTCAATTCGATTTAAAAATGGAAGTTTGGTAAGTGAAGCTTCCTGTGTATGTATTCAATTTGTATTTCATAAAGCAGTTATTGTCCATTAAATAAATACCATCTGATGGTTGGACACCCATTGGAGGGTTAATTGTTGTGTAACGAGATATGTCTTTATTACATAGTACCCTCAGCTTCAATCAGTATGTTTTCAATAACCTATAGTCAGTTGGTACTTGCGGTTCATACAATGGCTATTGTGTTCAGTCTAAGATTTAATAAAGTAGTTATCAGATGTTAAATTAAAACCGACATTTTTTTGAAATATTAAGGTTAAACAGCTACCTAGACCATGGTCTGTAGCCATAGACTATAATTTATAGCTCAAGGAAGTTGGTCCACATGTATCAATATGTTGTCGTAAAGAAATGGAACTATTTTATGCCTCTCACTGTGGCTTTGATGTCAGGTCATCTGTTTTCCCTTCTTAGCTTCACTACACCCAGTGTATGAAACATTGAGCAAGCTACTACCCTGCTCTGGCTCTCTGAGCCCTCTTCAATTAAAAAAAAAGTGCCTCTATTACCTAGCTTTTGTGGTGAATTTAGCAATCACATCGACTTTGCACTCAAGAAATCTTAGCTTCCATTTTGCACAACTTTTTCCAGAGCTGTTTAGCTACTTGAAAATTCCCTTCCTCTCTAAAACCTCTGGGGTTCTCCACACCATCCATCAATGCCAACGTCTCGCCCCCAGCCATGCTCAAATCCTCCTGCTGTTCTCACATCTGTAGTCTAAGAGAATACAAGGGTTTCCCTAAATAAAAAAAAAACATATTCAGATCCTCCCACAGCCTGTGTCCTCACACATGGGCAACTGAATAAATAATTCAAGGCCACCTCTGGCTTTTCTAACTCCTTCATTTTTATCTGTCTTGCAAACATGTGTTAACTGGATGGTTTTAGTTATCTGAACAATTGGCTATGGCATGCTGAAAGAGCACTGGGCTGGGAACGAAGAAGCCTGGGTCTACAAGCTTTGCAGACTTGTCCATTGCCCCTGTCTCATCAGCCTTGGTTCTCTCTTTGGAAATCCCAAACGTTCCAGCAACCCACATTTCTCTTCCTTATCTCACGGCACAGAAAGTCATTAGAGTAGCTACTTTCTTAAAGATGTTGCATAACTAGCACCATTCTAGTGATGAAGGAGAGCATGAATTCATAGTAGAAACTTCAGAGACAGTATCCAACAGGGTTTCACGAAATCGTGGAAATGTTCTGTGTCATCCCTGATGAGGAGCTACTGTCTAGAGGTACCTATGGACCACTGGAAAGAAGACCAGTAAGACTGTGGAACAGAATTTTTACATTTATTTTAAATTAGTTTAAATTTAAATTGCCACAGGTCATGGTAACTCCCACATTTGAACAGCACAGATTCAGAGCTTGGAGCTTTGACTCTCAAATAACCAGGGTTTGAAAGACAATGTCTCCTAGCATTCACATCCTACAGGTGTATTATTTCGTGTGTGTGTGTGTGTGTGTGTGTGTGTGTGGTGTGTAAGGTTCCCATTAAAATCAAACAGCTAGGAACCATCTGAGAGTCGCATGGTGATTTGTTTATCCATTATTGTTTTTCTTGAGAATCTGGAGTGTGTTGGAACTCAATGAAGTTGAAATAACTTTGTTGGTATCATTCAAAACACTTAAAGAAAATAGACTTACTGGCGATCAAGATCAGCATGGTTCCAGAAACTATCTCAGGGCATTTGGTAACCTCACTGTCCTCATAAAGCCAGTTATATGGCTCAGAGTTGTGAAGTATCCTGTGGTCATTGTAAGGGAACTCTTCTCTTCAGCAGCAGTACTGAGGAGTACTATTCCTCCCATCTTTTCTTCCTCTGCTCCTATTTCCCTGACTATGGCATAGTTGTATAAATATTGTCATTGCTCACCCAAGAGTAACTCCTGTGTATTTAAAACATGAACAAAATTCAGAAAGCCAAGAAGTGTAAAATTGGGGAGTAAAATCAACCAGCCTATGTTCTACTACTCAGAAATTGCTGTCAATAATACTTTATTACATAAGGTTATTTGAATGGCATGGAAATATTTTGATGAATTCAGCTCTTAGTAGGAATTTTCCACTTAATATTATGGCTTACACATTTTATTTTAAATTGCATAAATTCTGTAAATACTTTATATCTGACCATTCAATTGAACAAGCTAGCCATGGACATTTTTATTCATTCTTCCGGCACTGAATATTAGTGTGCTTGCAAAATTTTCTACTTATGTAAGATTTCACATTTAATGACAACACTGAGAATGTAAACTATGCAATTAGAGATCTAGACTACGTCATCCAGGAGTATTAGTAATCTGAGTGACTGATACTTATCTATCCAGGCATGTATCCATTCATCCATCCATTCATCTATCCACTGATCTAACTACCCATCCATCCACTCATCTTTCCACTGATCTAACTAGTCATTCATCCATACATCTATCCACTGATCTATCTATTCACCCATCTACTCATCATCCACTCTCCTATATATTCATCTCTCTACTCATCCACTCACTCATTCATCCACTCATCCATTCACTCATCCATTTATCCACTCATTAATTCATCCATCCATCCATCCATTTATCCATCTGACTATTTATTCTGATGAACACTAAGAAATAATATTTATATTAGACCATGAAAGAAAAAAGAGAGTCATAACTTATAGACCTTTATTTCACAAAGAATTCATAATCTATTGAAGGAAAGACCTTTGCTTATAAAAAAATGTCTTTACAGAGGAAATAAAGATAAGAAACGTCAGCCAGTGAATAAAAAGGATAGGATAATACAACACAATATGGTAGTTTCAGAGCTTATTCAGGGAGAGAAATAAGTCGAGAAGATGAAGAGGATAGTTTGCCAGGGCATTATATTTTGTGGAACATCACATTCAGGGCTGTAGTTAAGAAGATGAGCAGGGAAATGACCTGTGCAACTCAGAGTTTGAGGGTGGTCTCTAGTACTATCGAGGAAGCACCAACAGACTGTGGTGCTGAGAAATTCATTCATTTTTTAAACATGTGAGACAAGAAGTGTAGATCTTTTCCTATGAGGAGAGAGCCTTCAAATTTGAGAGCTGTCTTTTTCTTATATCCTTAGAAGTAGCCAAATCACAGCCATTCTTTGAGGAATGTTGAAAGAAGAATCAGCAGGGCCCCTAGATTTTAGGAAATGATGAGTTGGGGCTGGGACGTTTCTTGACATCATCCTGGATTCAGTTTCCAGTTCTTCCGCAGAGTTCGCTCAGATTTACAGATATTTGGGTCCACAGGAATACAAGAGAAGAACATGGCTCTTCTTTCTCCACATCTAAACAGATGCCAAACTTAGAAAACAAGTAGGAACCCAGAAGCTGTTATGGCCAAAAGGAGATTGAATCCAGATACCCCAGACAGTAGGGGAAGCCACCGTGATATTCCAGCTCTGGGGCTAGTCCTATTAAGGGATTGGCTCACCCCTTGGAAATCTGCTAAAATGAGTTAGATGGCATAATAAAGAAACTGCCTTTGACTGTTAAATGGAGGAATGATTCATCTATCCCCAGGATGTCAGGGCTGGGAGGTTCCTCGGGCATCATTATTCAGCACACTCAATTTTTACAAACGAGCCTTTCCTTCTTCATATTTCATGCCTGGGACACAGAATGGCACCTGGTATAGTCAGTACCCAAGAATCCCTGTTAGAGGAGCCCCTCTGAGGGCAAAATGAGGCAAAGGAGTGCTTCACATGCGTAGTAAATTCCATGTGAGAGGAAATTAAAAAGAGTGCAGGTGGTGGGCCTCTGGCCCATTGATTCTGGGCTGCTTGAAATCAGAAAAGAATGTACACCACCTGAAAAAGAAGACACCTAGGCCCACATAAGGTCCTGGGAAAGGGGAGGATGTTGTCTCTTTCCTGAAACTTTGGGGTGTGTAGTAGGGAAAAGGGACTAACGTAGATCCTGTGTCTTCCGCCCTTCGGCCTTTAGCCCAGTCCTCCCAGTTGCTCATTCGACTGTTCCTAAGTCGGTGCATTGTCCCTCTTTCCTTGGCCTAGAGAATTGGGATCAGCATGCGACCTTTGCCTGGAGGGGAGAATCCTGGTGCAGTATGCTCTCAAAGCCTCGTCCCCAATGCCCTGTGGCCCATCAGGACACTGGAGCCCTCGGGAAGCAGAAGGTAAGTCTGGCTTTGCAGTACTTATTGACAGGTGGGGGTAGAGTGCAGAGAACAACCCTTTCAAAGAACATGGGATTTTATGATTTGGAATATCCCCATGCCATCTCATGTGGTCTAAAGATTTTTTCCTGCAAGACTAGAAATCATGCATTTAACACATGCTTCAGCACTTGTACCCTTGAATGAATGTCGTACATATGTTAGACAGGAGGAAATGCAGACAGACACCAAGGCCATCTTTCTGATGAAGAGACTGTGCATTGTGTTTAGATAGCTTCTAAACTCTGACCCCTGTGAGTATACACAAGGTCACATGAGAGTCAATACACTTAAGGCTCAATGAATGCATGTATGTATATGTGTATGTGTCTGCATGTGTACATGTATATATATTTATATGTGTGTATGTATATATGTATGTCTTATGTATGTATGCCTGTGTATGCATGTATAAGCTTGAAACATCAGTCATCACTGATTCTTCTCCAGTTATGTTTAAGACTACCCAGGATATTCTCACATATGTCACAACGGTTCTTTTAAACTTCTCCTATCTGCCCTCGCATGGGGAATCTCTTTAACTTCCAAGACACTTGAGAGAAGTATCTACCATTTGCCACTGCTCTGGGCTCCACCCATACTCAGACCTCTGTCTGCTCAGGAAGCATCTCTCGTTTCTCCCAAGGATGAAATACTGGCTGTGCTTCTTCATGGCGTGACTGTTTGAGAAAGAAAACAGCTGTCATATTTTCCTCAGAAATGCAGAGAACACCTTTGGGCCAGATGTAGGTGGTGATACTCTGTCACCTGACCCAGAAGCCAGGCTGGCAAAGAACTCATGCCTTCCTCTGCAAGTTCCATTCCCCCCCCCATCTCAGGCCCTCACAGACTTAGGCTTAGGGGCCCTGGCTTCACCTGAGCCCCTCTCAGGAAGAGGGCTAGAGTGGCACAGCTCATGCGTACAGTCACCATAATAGTAGACACTATCAGCCCAGTTCACTAGAGGAAATGGGATCTAGCTCCTTATAGAACATCAGTGAGAACGCTTCTTCTGTCCTCTATATTTTTAGAAATAGAGTTGAAAAGAAAAAGGCAGAGACAGAGCAAGAGAGAAGGATCAGAGAAGAAAGCGAAGTCGCAAAATGATGGCACCATACTTTATTTTCTCAAGTAGCTTAAAATAAAAATGAGAGCCAAACTCGGAAACTCTAAACAAATCCATCTGGAATGTAAAGCAACAGGGATATCTGGGAAAAACCCTCCTCTGAGCCTCAAAGAATCACAGGCTGTCAAACATGGAAGGGACGTCTGGGGTCATCCAGTTCTACTCTCCCACCCCATGAAGGAATCCCCTCTCTGTGACTCCCTCTGACTTCCTGTCCTGGCTCCACCTTCCTGAAATCTGTCCTTGAATGTCTCCCTCCAAATGGAACCCATTCTGGGTTCCTGTGGAAGAAGCTGAGTCTCTGACCTCTCCAAATACTTTGCATGTTGAACAGACTGAGCCTGGTCTCACCTGTGATGGCCACAGGCACTTTTACTGGGCACTGTCCTGGGTACAGGGACCGTGCTATGCTGACCACTTGTTGGGGATTTAGATAGGTAAATGAGTAATTACCATTCAGTGTGAAGGGGCCTCAGCAATAGAATGCTGACAACCAGCAGCAAGCCTGTCTACCCCAGCATCGGAGACTGGATTTGTTACAAAAGACCATAGTCTGAGTGCTATTTTCCTAAGACTAATCCTGAGGCTTATAGAGTACTAGAAAATTTAGAAGGGTGTTCTCAAAGTCAAGGGTTTTGTTTTGTTTTGTTTTGTCAGCCATGGGGTTTGAACTCGGGGCCTGGGCACTGTCCCTGAGCTCTTTTCGCTCAAGGCTAGTGCTCTATCACTTGGAACCACAGCTCTACTTCCAGTTTTCTGGTGGTTAATTGAAGAGAAGAGTCTCACAGACTTTCCTGCCCAGGCTAGCTTTGAACCACGATCCTCAATCTCAACCCCCTGAATAGCTAGGACGACAGGCGTGAGACACCTGTGCCTCAAAATTGTTTTTTGGCAGCACTGTGACAACATGTTCCCTTCTTGCTTTTATTCTCTTCTGAGGGGACAGTGGAGTTTTCTCCAGGATATACCAGTGTTGGAGAGCCTGTGGGATATACACTACATGTTTTTGAGTTTTAAAATGCATTATTTTTTTTTACTTACAACGTGATAGCTATGAACAGATATAAACTACACAAGCCAAAAGCTCTTCCAAGCCGGGCGCCGGTGGCTCACACCTATAGTCCTAGCTACTCAGGAGGCTGAGATCTGAGGATCGTGGTTCAAAGCCAGCCCGGGCAGGAAAGACTGTGAGACTCCTATCTCCAACAAACCACCAGAAAACCGGAAGTGGCTCTGTAGCTCAAGTGGTAGAGCGCTGAAGAGCTGAGGGACAGCGCCCAGGCCCAGAGTTCAAGCCCCACGACCAACCAAAAAAAAAGAAAAAGCTCTTCCATAATCCTATATGTGCTTCTCTGGAATTACAGCAAGCCCAGTTTGGTGTGGCAGGAAGGGAGGTGGATAAAGATCAAGTGAGTGCAGGCTTGGATTTACACCATCAACAAAGACAAGTCACTTTGTCCTGTGCTTTGATTTGGTCTGGGTAACACGGTAAGAGTGCAGGTTATAAAGACACTTGAGCTTTACTGTAGAAAAGAGATTAGGAGAAAAAGGTCCGAGAAGAAAAGGAGCAACTAGCAATCACTGCGTGAATCTGAATCAATACACTGAGAGTAGAGAAAAGTAGATGGAGTTGAGTGGGATTTGGAAAGTAGAATCAGCAAGAATCTCCCTGGAGACTTGTCTGGATAAAATCATCGTGGTTTATTCTACCAACTATTTGAGTGACATAATTTCCAGACACCTCCCCACACCTTCATCCAAACCAAATGTCAGTCAGTGAAATCTGTTCCTAGTTTGTCCCTGACTCTTAAAGTGTGGCATGCAAGACAGAGTTCAAGTGTAAACACTGAGCCCCCTCAGTTCCCTGAGCTCACACAGGCTTCTGAGGAAATCCGACTGCCCTGGGTTTCCCTCCTATGTAAATTTAGTACATGGAAGCCAGGAAAAAAAAACACACTTTTTTTTTAAAAGCATCCTATTACAGGCTCTGTGATCCCTTTGGCTCAGACCCTTTTAATATCCTCGAAGAGATAAACTTTTCCATGAGCCAAACTCTGCAATTTATTTCTCAACTCATTTTCATCCTATTTATCTTAGTGTGTTTAAGTTTTTGGACTTCCCAAACTTAACAGAAAACTCCCAAATTCATGAGCAATGCCAGACGTATGTGTGGGGCTGGAGAGGTTGGGGAGGAAACAAGGAGAATGGGACCTTGATTTTAGTCCTTTCATACTCTGTGCTTCTGAGTGTTTCTCTTAATTTGTCTGAATGCAGCCTCTTATCCACAGGGTGAACAAATAAACCACATGCTTTTTCTAACCCTAGTAGTCCATGGAGCTGTAATTTATTTCTTTAAGTCCATCTTACCAAGTTAGATGATTCAATATTTAACAAGTATTTATTGTCTGTCCACTACACTCCATTAACTTCATTTGAAAAAAAGTGGCAAATATGGTCTTAGTACTTCTTACCTTTGTTCATAGGAAAAGATTGCATTCTTACCTCTGGAATAAAATGCTATATTTCATAGATAAATATTTCCTGGGCTAGTCCCCATGGTATTCTTATAGTCCCCAAACTGAGATAACCGAAACTGTCTGACACAAATCCTCTTTAAGATCACTCATGAAAGCAGTTGGTTCATCCTTGAGGATTCAGTCTGTCCAGGAGAGATTAACACATGGTAACCTAACTGTTTTGATGTTTTTCTTATTTGTGTAAGGCCTTTCTTCCTTGTTCTCTCCAAAATAATTCAAGTGTGCTGAACTGTGCCTCTGGGGAAAACCTTAGCACTGAGCTTGTATTCACATTACTAGCTGCAAGGGTATATTCACATAGACCTATCATAGGTGTCTAGGTTGATCTTCATAAATGCAAATTTGGATGCATATAAGTATATGGGAATATATTTCTACATACAGCTATAGCCCTTTTTCTAGTGAACAGCTTTTCTAAACAGGGAACTTTCATTTAGTTACTATGTATATATAAATATAAAAGGAAATATAAATAATGAAGTGACAAGACCTTGTAGAAGTTTCCTCGTCCCCCTGTTCCTTTCTTCTTTTTGGGGGGTGGGGGGGTCCAGTCGTGGGGCTTGAACTCTGGGCCTGGGCACTGTCCCTCAGCTCTTCAGCTCAAGGCTAGCACTCTACCACTTGAGCCACAGCGCCACTTCCGGCTTTTTTCTTTTTGCTTATGTGGTGCTGAGGAATGGAACCTAGGGCCTCAGGCATGCAAGGCAAGCGCTCTACCGCTGAGCCACCTTCCCAACCCCCCCTCTTCTTTTCCCCCTTCTTCCTTTCCTCCTTCCTTCCTTTCACTCTTTGTTTCCTTCTCACAGTTCTTCTCCCTCTCTTATAATACACATCTACTCTCCCAGCTGTGTCCAAATTTCCTCCTTAGGAATTCTAACCCATGATCTCTTATTATCTCTTTGTTCAACACATAGGTACATAATGTCTGCCTTGGTCCGAGAGTCTCTTTACTGACCTTACTAGACAAAAAGCTCCATGAAGACAGAAAGCATATTATATGGCCATCCTTATCCCCAAGGACTAGCCTAACCCAGAACATAGGCCTGATTTTCAATAATGTTTATTTGAATACCTGGACAAGTGGGTGGATAGGTAGATAAGTAGATAGACAGACAGACAGACTGATATAAATGGATAGATGGATGGATAGATAGACAGTATATCTGTGTCTCTTCATGTTTTTTTTTTCTTAAAGAAAAATCCTCCATAAATTCTCAACTTAAAATCCCTTTTTTTGTCTTTTATGTCCATTGTAGGGCTTGAACTCAAGGTCTGAGCACTGTCCCTGAGTTTCTTTGTGCTCAAGGCTAGTGCTCTACCACTTGAGCCACAACACCACTTCCAGTGATGACTTTTCTGTCCGGGCTGTGATTCTCAGATCTCAGCCTCCTGAGTAGCCAGGATTACAGATGTAAGCCACTGGTACCCAGCTGACTTAAAATTTCTAAGAAGTTTTTCATCCATCTCCGTATAAAGTTCAGGTTCCTTAATGTGAAATACAGTGTGTATTCTATTAGTTTCCAGCCTCAGTACATGCTTGTCTCTTGTACTCAAAACTATAGTCATCTTAATTCAGATTCCTTCTATACTGTTCTCTTTGCTTGGAAGTCCTCCTCCAAACAAAATTTTCCTTATTAGTACCTTCTTCCTTTCCAGGGCAAAGCCAAACATATTTTTCAGCATCAATTAAAGAGTTCATTGATTTGCATTTTATATCTCCCCTGTGAGGTAGGTAACATTACAGTAGGTGACACAATGAGAAGCTGAATAGTTGACATTTTGACCCAACTTCCATCGCCTCAAAGTCTGGCACACTGCCTGGACCAACAATATCACATAATCTTCTACTCCCCACTAGGGAATTGCTTACCCATCTGAGGTTCAGTTTCCTCTTCAGTCAAATAAGTTTCAGAAGGCCTGCGTCACACACCCACTGCTGGCGTGAAAAGAGCCGAGACATGTAATGTGCTTGGCACAGTGCCTACACATGGACAATGGTCAGTTTTGAAACTTGGTATTATTAAAGGGATTCCTGTTTAGTGGTGGGTTGGATTTCATGGCTCTTGTGGCTCTTTCTTTTATGTCTAACAATCTTTCTCCAACGACATGGCAAGATTTGCTAAAAATTCCTGTTCCTGTTTATCTTCTTGAGCATAATGACCAGATTCACCTCCCTGTCCATTGGAAGCCATTTAGTCCCTCTGTTGATGAACAAGAAACCCAAGAGGAAGGATGAGACACATTTGTTCTCTTGGCTCTCCTGTGGCTTTCTTGCCACAGACAGTGGTTTCCTCCAAAGAAGGGAGAAAGATCACTTTATCCCTTGCCTGTTATAGTAGAAAGCCCACAGAGGGGTAGAATGTTGACCTGGCACTCAGGTGAATACTCACTTTAGGCAGTAACTCCAATACTTCATAGTGTAACTTCTCTTTTACTTGCATATTAACAAGAGAGAAGGTTCTTCATTAAACAGACGTCAATGGGACATGTGCTATATACAATCTTTCTAGACAGGGCTCTGTAATAAGCAATCTGTGTGACTTTGGGTGAAACAGACCTACAGAATACACACCCAAAATTTCAACTGCCTTACAGGACTTTGGTGACGGTCGATGAGTCAACCAATGACTGAGAATGTATTTGATATATTTTAGATTGTTTTTTTGATAGCATTTACTAAATGAATAAGTGATATATATGCCTTCACCTATGCCCTGGGATAAGTCAGCCAGAAATTCAGTTAGGAAGGGAATCCCTCCCATGCATCTCACTTAAGCTAAAGGTTGCCTCTAGATAGAAGCTTTCTGTAAAGAATGTCTGGACACCTAGGCTGATTCTACCACTATAAAATGGTGCAATACATATGGGGGTACAGATTCTTATAGTGGTAGAATTCCCCTCTTGTATATTGGCCTTTTATTCTTTATATATGTGCTTGAATGTTATAGCAGGATCCTATCCATTTCTTTTTGGTCAGAGATGCAGTACACCTAAAAGAAAATGAGCATTTTTCATTCCTCCTTTTCTTTTCTTCATCTCCAGCTTCGTGTATACTCAGTGACTTCTCTCCTCCTTTGTCTGGGTAGATATGAGAAAGTAAAGGGGTATTTACAGCTTTCCTTAGAAAAGCCTTTCTAGCCCAAATGGCTTTCTGCTATTTGTATTATGTTGATTCTTGTTACCCTGTAACATTGCTACAAAGCATGTTCAAGGAAAGATAAATTTTTGTCCCTTGTACTTCATAAATGCCCAGGATTATCACCCTCCCCAACCCACACTACCAACCACTTGATTCAAAATGAGCATGGCGAATATGATGACTTGAGATTCTCCCATGTTTTCCTCTCAGTGATCTTCACCTCTTACTTGACTCCCTTCTGCAAGTCAGAGCCAATTGCCACACGGAGTCCTGATTCTTTTTTTCAGTAACACAAGAGAGAGGCTTTCTGAAGGTCTAGATGTGACCTCATCAGAGAACAATTCAATAGTCGCTGCTGGCTAAGTAGGGATGAGGCATCCTTTCCCTAGGGAAAGAGAAGCAGAATGCCTCCTTCCTTCTCTTCTCATCCACTCTCCTTTCCTGAGTCAGACTGGACAAAACTCACTGAAGTTCAGTGGTACTGAATGAGTTCATGGAGAGAAGGGGGTGAAGAGGAAAGATATGATGTCACCAATGCTGCTTTCCAGCTCCATCATTCAAGGGCCTCCCAGACTCTCAACCCAAGAGATAGATGCTCTCATGGCTCACTGCCTCTTTGCTGATTCTGTTAGTTCAGAAAGATTGTACAGTGCCGTGTATATCACTAATTTTTTGTAGTTCATACATCTAACAGGGAAAAGAACAAAGTTTAAGGATTTCTGAAGGAGACAGAACTGGGTTCTAATGCTGACTCTTCAATGTGTATGAACTTGTTCAATTCATTCTGTAGTCCTTAACATTATTTTTTCTTCACTCCTGAAATGAGTCCTTGTAAGAACGGAACAAGTATTGAATAAGGACATGTAGCAATTGTGTGCCTATTCTATCTTTCTCTGTTAGTCAGCAAGGTATCCAAGTAGCAGATAAGGAAGGGGAGCTTGGGCACTGACTTGATAGTACGATTTGAATGTAATGTTTATCAAATGTCTGGGGACTCACCTGAAATCTTGTTTGCCGGGTTGAGAATGAGTTGGGTGCTCATAATTTTACCAAGACACTGAGAATCCCCTTTTTTATGGTCTCTATCTAAATTCTCATCAAACTAACCTTTTCAGGGGTCTGTAGGAAATGTAGAGGGCCAGAATGAAGGCCTTTCCTCAGGAACTCATTCACTCTTCTCATTTCCAAAGGTCATCCAGATGTTGAACAACCCTGTAAGTCCAGTGTCCGCACCTGGAGCCCAAATTCAGCGGTCAACCCACACACAGTCCCTCCAGCCTGCCCAGAGCCACAAGGATGCTACCTCGAGCTGGAATTCCGCTACCCCTTAGTTCCTGAGTCTCTAACCCTCTGGGTGACCTTTGTCTCCACGGACTGGGATTCCAGCGGAGCTGTTAATGACATTAAACTCTTGACTGTCAGTGGGAAGAATATCTCCTTGGGTCCACAGAACGTGTTCTGTGATATCCCACTGACCATCAGAGTCCGGGATGTGGGTGAAGAGATTCGTGGTATTCAGATCTACACGCTGGATGAACACCTGGAGATTGATGCAGCGATGCTGACTTCCACTGCAGACACCCCACTCTGCTTGGGATGTAAACCTCTGCAGTATAAGGTTGTCCGAGACCCTCCTCTCCAGGCGGAGATGGCCTCACTCCTACACCTCAACAGAAGATTCATGGACATGTAAGTACACTTGTCCACTTGAGAGTTGATTCAGTGGGTGGACTGATCAGGGATGTAAGGAAGGTCAGAAAATCCTGAGTTGGAAGGAGGAGGTTCATCATGGACAGAGTCATGTCTAGGGGACTGTATTTCAGTGTTCAGTGTAGAATCATCTTAGGTCTGAACTGTTCCGGCAGAAAGAGTTGTGAGGGAGTAACCGCCCTTTTTCAATGTGGTATGACCCCTCTGTTGTGGGATACTTTGTCTCACTCACCTCTTTGAAACAGTCTTCCCAACAATATGTGAAAGAAGTAAGAGGTGAATAGCAGTGAGAAAGTCATTGATTACGAAATGAAGCAGAAAAGGTGGAGGTTATAGGTCACGTGGTAAACCACTCGCAGAGCAAATGCGAAGACTTAAATCCAAAACTGCGGTATCACACACACACACACACACACACACACACATATACAAACAAACAAACAATTAGTAACTGAAGAGGAATAATTAAGGTTTCCCTATGATTTTTAGCAAAAAGGCTCAGAGACAGTGCCCAGGCCCTGAGTTCAAGCCTTGTGACAGATTCTCCCCCACCCCTGGCAAAAAAAAAAAAAAGAACCAATCTTCATCTGTTCATCATTTCATCTTTTCCACAGTCATACCCTGTGATCATTATCATTTTACAGAGAATAAAACTGAGCTTTAGAAATAGAAAGTCACTCTACTGAGAACACAGAGAAAAGGGTGAGATCAGTATTAGAATTCCCTTTCTCCCTCCTAACCAAGTGCACTCAACTTGTGTCCAGTCAAAGATGTAGGTCCAGTTTTTGCTTTAATTTTTAAAAATGATAGAGCTTTAGCCATATTATTTGTGTACCTAGACTCTATATAATCTATCACTAAACTTACTGAATACTTGCTATATTCAGGGGAGATTGATACAGAAACTGAGTGTTGAAAAAGAACACTAGGGGATAGGAATGCGGTTTAGTGGTAGATGCTTGCCTAGCATGCATGAAGCCCTGGGTTTGATTCCTCAGTATCACATATACAGAAAAAAACAGAAGTAGTGCTGTGACTCAAGTGGTAGAGCACTAGCCTTGAGCAAAAGATGCTTTGGTACAGTGCTGAGTTCAAGCCCCAGGACTGGGAGGAAAAAGAAAAGAAAAGAGAAAAGAAAAGAAAAGAAAAAGGACACTAGCTCAGGAATCAGACATTTTGTATCTGGTCCCAGTTGGTCCACTTAGTAATGTTACATAAATTGGTCCATTTCACTAAGCCTTAATTTCTCCTCTGTATGATGAAACTTTTGAAGTCTGTAGTTTGGATAAAGTCTTCTGAGGCTCTTTATATGGCTCTCAGATGATTCAAGACACAATCTTTGCTCTACTTGAAAATATTTATCAAACCAATCATTAATGGAAAGCAAGTTCTGGAAGGAAACTTTTAATCTTTTTAAGAGACAGAACCACTTTCAAACACTTTCCCAGCACTTCCTCTTACATACCAGCAATTAATGTGCCTAGCTGTAGCAAAACCCTCATCCATGCCTTGAATCAGAGATGAATAACATCTGGTTTAGAACTCACAGGGAGCACTCAGCTTGTGTTTGAGAGAGCACTTAAAATGTAAAGGATCATCTTGCCTTGAAAATATTCTAAAACCCTGTCTCTCCCATTTCCTCGCTTGTCTGGAGTGGTGAATGACTATAAATATGCATAAAGTTAAAAAAATTATGAAACAATGGAGGAAAGAAAAATAGATTCTTTTAACCCTCCGTTTAAACAGTTTTCTTTTTTTGGGGGGGGGGGTTGGTCTTGATTTGTGTACCTGTGAGAGCTGACAAAGTTTACTAAGTATATTGTACTAGATATTATACACACATAAAAGCACCTAACATTCTGTTTCAGATTGGTCACTAACTTGCTCTATAATCTTAGGCAAATCACTTGTTCTTAATGGTCTTTAAATGCCTCAATTCTGCAAGAAAGAGATTGAACTGCAGCGGCACATCTCAAGCATGGGTTGAGCATCACAGAACTGTGGAACTCTCTTCCTCCATCCTTACTGCTCTCTTCCTAGATACTGACTTGACTTGTACAATCTCACCAGGTGATTGTATTGTGCAATTAACTTTCAGCTGCCCTACATTAAATCAGGTTCTTAAAGGATAGCTGCAGAGCAGGCAGCGTTGAGAGCACTTGGGAACTTAGAAAGGCCTAATTCTCAGATCCTGGCCCAACCTACGGAATCTGTGAGGAGGAACCCTCCAGATGATTCTGATGCTGGTCAACCTCAGTGCTCTGTAAAGGCCCCAAAGTCTCCAAGCTCTCTTTTAGTCTCAAAACTACTCACTCAATTTACAGTTTTGTGTAACAAGAGACTATGCTGGGAACTGGGAGCTGTAAGGATGCCTTTCCTAAATGCATTCAGGTTGACTTCATAAAAATTACCTCTTCAAGCCAGGCGCCGGTGGCTCACACCTGTCATCCTAGCTACTCAGGAGGCTGAGATCTGAGGATCATGGTTCAAAGCCAGCCCAGGGAGGAAAGTCCGTGAAACTCTTATCTCCACTAAACCACCAGCAAACTGTAAGTGGCGCTGTAGCTCAAGTGGTAGAGCGCTAGCCTTGAGCTGAAAAGCTGAGGGACAGAGCTCAGGCCCAGAGTTCAAGCCCCACGAGTGACAAAAAAAAAATTACACCACCGATTCCTAAACCAACACTTCCAAAATCACCATTATTCAACACACACAAACTTTCGTGTATAGTTCATTTCTTTATATATGCTCAACAAACACTTTTTTAATGATTTCTTTATATATGCTCAACAAACACTTTTTTTTACAAGGGCTAGACTGAGACATTGACTTACTCTGTGACTCAAGAGTTTAATTCTCGTGAGTCCTAAGGAGTTTATTAGTGACTTGGGTTGGGCTGGGCTTCCTGACCTATTCTCTAAATCTCTGGGGCCGGGGGGGCGTGGAGAAAAGGAAAACACGTCATTTCAAGTCAACGTAATATTTCATCTCCTTTACCTCTTGGTAATTTGAGTTCTGAATCCCACTATAAAAATGTCTTCAGCTCTGTATGTGTGTGTGTGTGCGTCTGCGCGCACGTGCACGCATGCACGCACATGCACCTGTGTATTTCTGCAGCTTTCACATTTTTTTTCTTTATCAAATAAATTGGCTTCTGTACAATTTCTATATAAAGTCTGTTTTGGAGGAAAAAAGTGAACAAGGAAAAAATGCTTTCCTTTCTTTTTCCCTGACTCAACTCATTGCATTCATTCCCTTTGACCTTTTTCTTCATATTTTTTTCTCAACAAAAATATTTATTCTTTCTGTTATCTACACTAGTTTTGCAAGGTACGGCATTGATAAAAGGAGAACCTTCTGTGCTAAACCCATGGGAGCTTCTAGGAGACTGATTACTGTGGGCCATGGCAAGGAAGACGTGTAGTATCTCTCCCTCATCTCCCTTAAACCAGAATCCCTTCATTGAGTGAGAACTGACGCTCTCCAAAGGAAAAGGGACGAGCTTCTACTTTGCTACTCACTAGCTCATCATGTTCTACCACTAGAATAGTCTATTTGGACCTCAGTTTCCACATCTGTAAAATGAAGGGCCACTAAACAGAGCTCTCCTCTGTGGCGAGACAGAGAAAAAGGGTCTTGGGAGACAAGTGCTTTGTATACTTTCTCATAGTGAAATGGAACCAACACCCATACTGGCTCTAGATGCCTTCCTGAAATGTACAGGCTGCAAACCATAACAGTGACAGCCATTCACTGTTTTTAAGTCTTGCAGGTATTTATAAGGCAGGAAAAACAGTTGAAATTCAAAGAGATTGTCTTACCTGATACAGATAGTTACAGAATCGCGACAAACAAAGATCTACTTCCAACATGGCACTCTTCCCACCATTATCAACATGGTGTCCTATGGAAATAATCTGAAGACAGAATTTTTCTGCCAAGAAATATATCCAATATGCCAAAACTATTTATATACTGCAGGTACAAGACAAGATTACAAGAAGAAACTAGTCTAAAATAAACAACAGTGGGGCTGGGAAGGTCGCTCAGTGGTAGAGTGCTTGCCTTGCATGCATGAAGCCCTGGGTTTGATTCCTCAGCACCACCTAAGCAGAAAAAGCTGGAAGTGGCACTGTGGTTCAAGTGGTAGAGTGCTAGCCTTGAGCTGAAGAGCTGAGGGACAGCGCCCAGGCCCAGAGTTCAGGCCCCATAACCGGACCCAAAAAAAAAATCAGCAACAGTGATTCACCCTTAGGGTCCAGAAACACACTGGACACAGGCAATTCTTTCAGCCCCTGGCTGTGAGAAAGAAAAATAAATTTAAAGCAAAAAAGCTTTTGCTTCTCAACTTTGCTGCCAAAGTGCTCTGAGTACTCTGTGCTCATTGTCCTGCATGAATCTATAGGTTTCTCTCCAAAGTAAAGTCCCAGCTGGGTAGGAAGATGGTTAGATGCACAGACAAGTAGATTGATATAGTAGATGATAGACAGACAGACAGACAAACAGACAGACAGACAGATAGATAGATAAACAGATAGCTAGATTTAATAGATGATAGATGGATAGAGATAGATAGATAGATAGATAGATAGATAGATAGATAGATAGATAGATAGATAGATAGACAGACAGGCGTAAAGCATAAATCAAACTATGAACCATGACTAGTAGCCCACTCTCTTTATTCATCCATCACCTGGGCATCCATTAAGGATTATGCATTCAGAAGAAAATGGTGATTGAGTGTCAGTATCTCAAAACGTTTCCACTTTATTGGAAAAAAAAGTGGTGGGCACAGAATGCCACTGTAAGATAAACTTGGAGGGCCAGAGATCCAAGCTTAGAACTAGAATACAAATGTTCCAAGGAAATGGATTTGGCCTGTTTGTTCACCAGTGTGCTCCAGGTCCCTGGAACAATTTCAGGCCCAAAGCAGACATTGAGTAAATATTTTCTAATGGTTCTGGAATGGAGGGAGGGAA